TGTGATTTCTTATAATGGCATAATAATGGTGAAGTGTGGAAGAGTCATCGGCATCACACCAAAGGGTCGGCCTCACAGAAAACCGGCGTGAAACAACCACGGCGTTGTGTTTCGCCGTGTGAGTGAGGTTACCGGAGCCCCAATCCTTACCCTCCTCCAATCCCTAACCCAATCCCTAAATCTCCAAATCACTAATCCCCAAAAGGTTGGCAACGCACTCGTAACTCTTCTGTTGTGGGTGTCCATGGGCGGCGCTGGTTGTTTACCATCAGGTAATCCGTCAGCTCGTTTGCCAACCTATTACTTATTACAAAAAAAAAAGGTTTCAGATAATGAAATGACTTCTTCAGCCCTAGTTTGGAGAAAGTGTGTGTCAGACTCTTAAACCATGTTCCGTTATCTGCCCCAGACAACAAGCGCAAAAGGTTGTACCCCAAAACCAGTGCAATTCCTGTAAAACGAGATTAACAGTATATATAACCATGAAAACAACGAAACACTGAAATTTGTCGCGTCTTAAGGACATTGATCTGTGATGGTCTATTAACTCTTAGAAGCGCGCGAGTCGACTTGGTCGCCTTATGTGGTTAAATTGAAGCAAAAACGAGCTCTCAACATCTTTATTCCCAGTTGCGGGAAAAAAGGCGTTTCTTTAGTCCACTTGATCATTCCATTTAAGAAACACGTTTAAAACGTGTGTATTATACTGATCAAATTAACAACCGTTATCGTACTTCTGCTAATCACCTACCTATTAGGCAGGTGAGATAAAGTTAAAACAGTGTTGTTCAATTTAATGTAATTTTTCCTGGTGAATAACCGAATCCACGTAAAATTTAGATAAACGTTGTATTATTATTTGCATATTACACTTTCAAGTAATAAGTAAATTTTATTTATAATTACGCTTTATTTTGTTACATTTTTCTTAACTACTAAGATTAAAGCTTACTAAGATCCTTCTTGGAAACGTATCAAACAATTACGAGACACCAAGAGTATCAGAGTAGTAATTTAAAAACTAGAATTTTATATTTGAAAAAAATGCAATTTCTAAAAATTTGAACAGTTTTTTCCATTCGAAAACTTGAATAGTAGTCTTTACTTAGTATCTATTGCAGGTTCACTTTACGTTCATTCGATCGACATCTTTATGACGTTTTGCGCTCTGATTGGACCGTTCCAAATTGACCAACCAATCAGAGAGATACACGTGGCAACGTTCCGATCATGTTCGATAAATAAACTTGTATAAGGCACTCTGTTTAATACATACAACAAACATTGTAAATTGTTGTGTGTAAATACAAATGTGGTTACATAATATATTTAAATTGTAGATCTGCTGATAAAGTTTATAAACGAATACACAGACAGATTATACAAACATGTGAAGTGGGTGTGTCTGGTTGGTAAAACCTAACTTAACTGTAGGTAATCGTGTTGCACACATTAACACTAAAATGTTGACTAGTTCTTAAACACTTTTTAGTTTATCTGTGGAAATATATACGAAACACGATTATACTCGTACAAGATTTTAAGGCAAAGAATATCAATATAACACATACAAAAAAAAAACCTTACGAATTTGGTATTACGTCCAAATTTAATTTGAACTTCTATGTTATACTTGTATTTATTTACTCATATAATGTCTAGTGTCATAATATTCTAATTTATTTATCACCCATCTTCTACGTTGCGTCGAATGGTAAGCAATGCGATTGCTCAGCTAGCGTTTTTTTTTTATTGAAAACAAGGTTATTTTCGAAATAAAAGCTTTGGATTGGTTTCAAACTGTGTCTCTGGCGATGACTTATTTAAAGTTAAATGATAACAATTTTAATAGATCAATGCATCTATTTACCGCCGAACTCAAAGTCGTATAATGGTCAATCAGCATTAAAACAAAAAAACGACTTTAAGTCTTTCTGACAGACCTGAGGGCCTACAATAACTATGGAGCTTTAAAACGTGTGTAGCTCCATTCCTCTTTCTCGCCCGGAAGATTCACGCTTTAACACTTTATGGTAGGCCTACAGAAGATCAAAAATATGTAATTTCGTTGCAGAGTTCTCTATGCAAAGTTGTCTTTATTTTATTATTGACTTCAAACGAGAATTTATTTATAAACTTCAAAAGTCTAATAAAACTTAAAGATATGAATTTATATCTTCAATATAAATTCATAACTAAGTACTATCTACAAGTGTTATTAAGAATCAGTTGAAGAGTTTAATTTTCTTAATTAGTGTATAATATTGAATGAGTTCTATTGTTAATAGAAGTACAGTTTCATTACTGTTTATGCATTTGTGTTATTATATATAAACATAATTTTCTATAAATGCCGATGATAAAATAAATACCAAACACACGTTGTTTATATGAATTGACTTTAAATACATTAATGAAACATATTTGTTTATGATATAGTATAGTTATACTTAATTAAAATCTTTGAAACAGAGGTTAGTTTTCTAGCTTATTAAGAAGAATAAAATTTAATTACAATTTGGACTCTTGAAAACACCTCTTCAAAGTATCTTTTACTAAGATTTTCTCTGAATTTGGTCGGTAAATATATTTTAAAGGATTGAACCCTGATAAAAGATTAACACCCGGCTTCCGAAAGGCCGATCAATGTTAAAATCAATTTAATTCCTTGTCAAGTCATCTGATTGGTTGACTGAATTATCAACAACCAATCAGATGACTTGACAAGAGATTTAACAGGAGATTAGTTAATTTTAGCGTTGACAAGCCTTTCAGAAACCGGGTGTTAACCTCACAACAACAACACCAACATTTTGAAAGAATATCACACAATTCTCACTACCAAATTATAATCGTGTAAGGTGAATAATTATCATATAACATTTTCACGTGGAATTTAAACCTTACCAAAAAAACTATGTACGTAGGTATAGGTACCAACAATGTATTATTTTACGTCACTCAATGCTTTTTAAATGCTCGTAAATAGAAGTCGTGTAGAGTAAAAAACAATAGCAACGTTATGGACTTACAGAAGAACAATTGTAATTATAAATAATTAAAATGCGTCACTTTACGACCTATTCATTGTAGTATTGCATGACGATATTGTTACTTTATATGGAGATTGTCGACTTAACTCACATACTTAGATAAGATAAAAATAATTGCCAATGTTTGATAGCTTACTTTTGTTTTCGATATAGCTGAAGTTTTTGTTGCACGACCTCATCGTCGACATCCTATAGTTTTTCAGTTGGAGAAGTACCTCAAAACCTCAATGCAGATTGGTGACTTCAAACTTATAGTTAAAAATTATCTTGTTGTTATTAGTCTATGATGGAAGTACATATAACTATGAAAAAGTCACATTGCCAGGTTTCAGAAGAAGGTCGAAGGTTCTTTGGGTCATCGCGACCTTTATCCTTTTTATGTAACTGCTCAAAAACAGAAAGTCATGTGTGTATAGGTTTACCCTACAAGTATTTGTTATTTATTTTGTTGCACCGTCAGTTCTAAACGAAGAAAAAGATAAAATAAATCACGCATAGATATAGAATTTTTATAACCTTTTTCGTTTTTTTAACAAAATAAGCACACTACATAATATACATAATACACAATAACTTTCGCAGTGTTCAACCTCATTGCTAATCTGAATGAGCAGAAATTTATTTTTTTGTCCACTTGTATATTTTGCTGACGTCTTTGACAATCAATCCGTTGCATTATTGGTAATATGATACAGGCATATGCTTGTATTATATTTCTTGTTATATCTTTATGTAGGTATAAAGTACATATTTTTCTGGGAATATCGTCGCATCGTATGTGATTATTTAGTTTTCTTCGGCGGTCAATCAAGAAGAGAATTTTTTTCACTTTCCCTATATCTATCTCTTTATCTACGTCAGATTACACTCGACTTGTTACCTAACGTTACATAAAATTATTTGATAGATATATAGATATTCTTTACAAAAAACAAAATTCTTCAACATTGCATACCTACCTACATTATAATACTATCGTTCTGTAAAACTCAAGGATTTCAAACTATTCGACGTTTTTTCGCTCACGACTTGTAATAAAATACCAGTGGTAAATTATTGCAAAACATTCAGATAATGTGGAACAGACAAGTTAAAAAGTTGACAAGCAAAAGTGTGCTCTCAGTTAGCCAATAATTAAATAGTTTTTAGCTCGAAATCTAGTTGGATATTATGTCATTCGTACACTATCGTACGTGGCAAAAACTTTTCTTGGAATTATACACGTGCAGTTCATACCATATACAAGAGAATATAGCTCAAGTAAACTAACTAAACAAAATATTGTTTAAATTATGGTATTTAAAAAAATAATAATATTCGTAGGCTTCGACGTGTTCTTAACAACAAGTCGTTTTAACGTAGATTATAATATGTATTCATAAATATTGAGTAACAAAGTCGGCCTTTAGAAAATGGTAAATATTTTCTAATATAAAAGTAAGCTCTCGTAATAAAGGATAACTAAATTAATTAGTTTGGATACATAATATAGAGTTAGTAATACAGCACTAGAATCAGCAGCCTTGAACTATCGAGGCTTTAATTAATATTGGTTCAGAAACCCTACGATATACAGGCGAAAGTTATCATGAAAACGAAGACCTGATTAAATGATAAGATACACTTACCTAGTAAAATTTATAAATAAATCATGCGACGATTTATCAGAATTGATGACTGTTACAGATATACCTATTATTAAAACCGAACACCTGCCAGACAATCTTTGATTACATTCTTGTTGAGTCATTAAAAGTGACCAACATTTATGATTGTGCTGTATACGTCTAAAGTATAGGCGCACACATTACGTCAACGTAAACAAGAGTCTCAGCGTACACCTGTGTTTACCAATACCGCGATAACGAAGATATACAAGCCTTATTATCCAAAAACTCTTAAATGCTTGATAAGAATGCATGTACAAAATACTTTGCGATTCAAATAAACGACCAGCCGCCGTTTAAGAGGCAAGACGCTATTATCATCCCTTAGCTTTTTCTGGGTAATTTCACGTTACACATTTCATTGCTTAATGTGATTCAGACATACGCAGTGTCTCTTATGAACATACGCCTAAGGAATATAAAAAGAATAACATAGGACTAAAAGCTTTTGTTTTTGTTACAGAATGGCTCCAGCGCAAAAACACGTGCAAATGTGTGGCGATGAAATTCAATCAGGACTAAAAATCAGTCCTGTCACATACGATGCTGACAAATTGAACGAAGGTCCACAGTACGAAAATAACAATACAGTGTTGAGGAACAGTGCTAATGAAAAAGTGAATAGTGATGCAGACTTTGATATTAGTAAATATGAAGCTATAGATTTTAAAGCAAAATTTAGATGGCCGGACCTCACCGTGCAAATACTTTTGCATTTAGTATCTATTTACGGATTGTACCTGACGTTTAGTAACCAAGTGAAGTTATTAACTTTATTGTTTGGTAAGTTAATATTATTATTATGCTTTGCAATTATGTATTTATAAATTTAATATCCCTTACAAAAACCCTAAAAGAATGGATAAGAAAATAGATAATTAGTTTGGGTAAAATACTTTTTTTCAGTTAGTTAATAGTAAAATTGAGGAAAGCTTTATGAAAAAACTAGCTTTTGCCCGCGACTCCGTTCGCGTTTAATAGTGACTTCCTGCAGATTATAAAAACTATCTTATCCTTTCTCGAGTTCCAAACTATGTCAGTCGGTTCAGTAGTGTAGAAAAGACAGACAGATAGATAGACAGAGTTACTTTCGCATATATAATATTAGTTTAGATAATAATTAAACAATTATTGTCGATAAGAATTAAAAATCGTACGTGCTGGTTATAAGTTATTAAGTATAAAGTTAACCGGCATGTTTTTTTCGCCCTATAGGTGATATAAGCGGCATTATAATTTATAGATGAAGCACATATTTTTTTTTTGTTGTCAAATGTAACAGCATTCATACAACAAGGTTAAAATAACAACATTATAACAATAAAATAACAATACATTTACCGCTTAACCGCTGTTGTCTGTTCGTAGAAGTTTGCTAAATACATATGTATGTGTATAAAGTTGACTTGTAGCGTTTTGTTAGTATAATTAAAGCAATTTTTGTTTTGCTAAAGGCACTTTAGTCTCTTTTAGTTACAAGAACCGCTAAAACTTTTCATAATTAGATCGATTGTTATATAATACATATTTACGTGTATAATTTGTAGAAATTGATTTAGAATTTGATCAGTGAAGTTCGGGATTCTTAGGGGAACTGGCGAAGTCACAGGTGTAGCTAGTCCTACAAAATATTATAAACGCGAAAGTTTTTAAAATGGATGTTTATATTCATGCAGGTATACGAGAGTTCTTATAATAATACTATTTCATGTAAAAACAACAGAATGACTCTGAATCAAATTTGGCATAGCGATATGTAGATTATAGTTTCGAAAAACAAACATATACTGAGGCAACTTTTTACCCCAGTAATGGGCGTGAAACCACTGGAAGAAACATGTACTATATCAGCCGGGGGTAAGCGCAATGAGGCACCGCGACCTCGGCCCAGAGCAGGAGAAGGAACATGGGGGGTTTTCAGTCAGTAAGAGTCTGACACTCCCTCCCGCCCGGCCTTGGGCGGGAGAAGTCATTTGATGATTTTCCCCTCACAAAAAAAAATGTACTATATAAATGATAAAGTTTTTGAAGATTAATACGATTGTAATTGTCTTCATCATTTATTTTGTGACTAAATAATATAATAATCGAAAATAATAAATATTTAAAAAAGATAATATTTTTTTAATCATACACTCCAAATATAGATTCGGTTTTCAAATAAAAACTACGAAAAATTCAAGGATTAAAAAGTTCCACGTTCCTTGCGTAAAATTCTGTAATTAAGTATTTTCTTGTCATTAAACCTTCTTCAAAGTATGTTAAATCTGACTCCTGGAATTTTGCTGAAAAGCTTTTTAACAAAGAATAATTAAATAAACGGAATTTCAAGTAGATAGGTACTTTTTGATATCCAGTTCCTCTTCCAGGAATACCATCGGTTTATACAGTTGAGGAAGGCAAAACGGGATTATTATTTAGATATTTTAAAATCGTTGCAAATTTAAGTGGGCCTCTCGTCACACAAGGGCCGAATTCTGGTAACGCAGTTTGAAATTAAATTAAAACGATTTCGGTAAATTATATTATATAAAACATGAAGCTTAAATATTTACTAGTGAGACAAAAAAATACTATTGTTACTAACTCTTAATCAGTTATTAGTTATTTAAGTATAAAAAAAAATATGTAACAGTGAATTTCGAACAAAATCGGTACATACTTTACACATCTAAGCCAAGCTTTTTTCTACAATTTTTAATAGCAGCCAATCTAAATTTTTGTTATAAAGATGTAAAATTCGTAAATTTGAATGTAGGAGGCAATTTTGGAAAAGGCTTGTCAGATTTCTAAAGTTCTTTCACTGATAGATACATAATATGTAGGTACAATGTTTCTGAGTGCTATAGGCTATAAATTACAGCATACGAAGTCGCGGGTGGAAGCTAGTCCAAACCAAACTAATATACCTAATAAATGCGAAAACAACTCTGTCTATCTGTCTTTTCTTCATGCCTTAACTACTAAAGCTATTTGTGTAAAAGACATAGTTTGGGACTCGAGAAAGGCCATAGGATAGTTTTTAAACAAAAAAGTCTCTATTCGACGCGAACAAAGTCGCGGGCATAACTTAGCATATCAATAAATCATCATTATCATCAGCCTATAAGTGCCCACTGCTGAGCAAAGGCCTCTTCTCACACGGAGAAGGTTAGAGCATTAATCACCACGCTTGCTCAATGCGGGTTGGTGATTTCAAACTTATAATTAGAAATTATAAGTCCAGGTTTCCTCACGATGTTTACCTTCACCATATGTCAGTGGTGTCTAAATAATCATAGAAAATATATATATATCAATAAATAATAAATATCAATCTTAAACTTAATATTTGATATGCTATTGTTACAGCATTAGGCACGATATATACATCTGGGTTCGGGATCACCGCTGGCGTTCATAGGCTGTGGTCACACCGAGCGTACAGGGCGCGTTTACCACTGCGAATAATACTGGCGCTGCTGTTTACTGTGACTGGACAGGTAAGAACGTATTTTATTTTATTTCTTAAGAAATTATCAATCTGTTAATCATTTAGGTAACGGCAATGTTAGTGTATTATTTCTTCATACTCTTCTGCACTCCTTAATTCATCAAATCCCAAGCGAATCCGGCGTTCGCACTCCTATTGGTTTTTTGAATGAAAGGTTAAGTAAACCTGACCATAAGCGTTTTGAAAAGTACGTTATTTTTACTTTATAATCACAGCATAATAAGAACTCTATCAACTTATAAGTAAAAAAATATGTCTTCTTATAAAAACAATCTTCTTATAAGTGTGGGAGAGCCATGCAAGTGTGGAAGAGCCATGCTTCGGCACGAATGGGTTGGCTCGACCGAAGTGATACCACGGCCTCACAGAAAACCGGCGTGAAATAACCACAGCGTTGTGTTTCGCCGTGTGAGTGAGGTTACCGGAGGCCCAATCCTTCCCCTCCCCCAATCCCTCCTCAATCCCTAAATCTCCAAATCCCTAATCCCTAAAAGGTTGGCAACGCACTCGTTACTACTCCGTTGCGAGTGTCCGTGGGCGGCGCTGATTGCTTACCATCAGGTAATCCGTCTGCTCGTTTGCCGATCGTTTACATAAAAAAAAACAAAAATCCAGGACTAACTACTAGCTTTTTATTTCGTTTTCAAAACACATGACTAATAATTAAAGTCAAGCAGAAGTTTAATAAAGTAAAGGATTACAAAGGCTTTGTTCAGAAGAAAGTATTAGAAAGTATCAATATTCGTTCGGTATAAAAAACGAAAATTTACGACTCAAATAGAATATGTCCAATAAAGAAAATATTAGCATAGCAATCTTAAAATTATCATTACAATACGTACATTTAAATGTTTTCTTACTTATTTTTCTTATTTTTTAACGAAAACAAGGTTAAGCTGGATTTTAAGTGTGTGTTTAATAGTAAAATTCTAGTGCTTAACCAAATTATTATTCAATACGCATAAAGAATAAGGTTTAAATTACAATAAGGCTATGTAGAAACTAGATTACAACTAATTTACCTTTGTATAATAAGTATATCTTCCTACAAACACAGCTGTGTTTACTTTATTCAACTCTTGAACACTATACGTAAACGTCACACAGCATCGTTATTATTTGTTATAACTTATAGATGACAGTACAATAGCATATTATTATAATATATTTTACAAAAACGTGACTATGGTTGAGATTTTTAGTATTATAAATATTATATTTTGAATAGAAATCGAATATCTGAACATGGGAAACATTTTAACCATATCCCGGTTGCTCGCAAAAATTATCACCGATTTATTAAGTTTTTTAGTTTAAATTTTTGCATAAAGTGGGTCCTGTGTCACATATAATCATACTGTGTGTCTACGTAAATAGAAGATCGGCAATAAAAATCCGTAGGTGACGTCACAATCCTACATTGAGCAAATCAAGTTTGCGCGTAGATTAACATGGATAGAAATCCTCTACGTAGAATGGGTAGTGTATCAACACACCAGTCATTATCACCACGCCTGCTCAGATTATCCTTTTTTCCAGTGTTCTAGAAGTTTACTTAAGTTAAATAGTAAGGTAAAATAAAAATCGAAGTTCTGCTAAGTTATTTTATTTGTAAAAGTTAAATTAACATAAGAATTTTTTGTAATAAAGTTGTTGAAAAGTTTCTTCCGACTGAAAGGTAGAAACACTTATATCTTTCTTGGAAATCTGCGCACGTGACTTCCTTAGTTGAGATTATTTCATTATATATGTAAAGTTAACTTTGAAACCTTCCTTTGAATCTAACAAATGGATTTTGTTCCTAAGTTTTTGATACTGACATATTATCAATTAAGAGAAGCTATTTCCGATTGGGACTATGTGAAAGAGTTCATCCAATGACTTCTTTCGCCCAGGATGAGGCGAGACGGAGTGGCTGATTCTTACTGACTAAAACCTCCCCGTTCCTTCTCTTGCTTTAGGACGAGGCCGCGATGACTTATCGCGTGGCTTTTCAACCTGGATAGTTATTTTTTTAATCACATATTTACAGACAGCTATAATAATGTTAAAATTGAAATATATCTCAGATATTGGTACAAAAATATTTCATAAAAAACATACCTGAATAAAAAAATATAATTGAGTGATATATTTAGTCGCCTAGTTTTAGCATAATGACATGAATATTATTACAGTTAATATACCTTTCTTACTTAATATATACTACATGTTTATGTATCTACATATGTCTAACGATTTCTTTTGAATGGTCGTAAACTGAAATGGTAAACAAGAGCCAATTTTTTTTATTAAATAGACCTTGAGCATAAGATTAGTTTTATTTATTAATACTGTAAAAGCCGCTAAAACTTCTCTTCTATTTGATGAAGTATCTTAAGCAAAATTTTCCACGCGTAGATGTTCTGTTTCTTAGAATTTACTACTAACCCGTGGTAAAATATTCTCGTTAATCTTTATGTTATACAAATAAGATTAGAATTATTGTTCATTACTTTCGCTAAAACTCGAACCTGTCTTGACAGTATTAGTCATTTTTTAAAGAAAATAAAAATCAGTGTCCTTGAATAAGTAACAAGAAAATTTGTAAAATCATTAATTTTTGTTTTCATACAGGCTTTTTAAGTGTCACAAGACATTTGTCAAGAAACAAGAAACCGTCATAAACTTTGATGTGATAATTTATTTTATTTTTACAACAAATAAAATGAAAATGTATTTTAAAATCATAATGATGAAATAACCTACCAATGCATTTTAGTTGCGTTATAGATCTAAAAAAATAGAAACAATATGACAATAACAAATAAATATAATGCAATAAGAACTTGTACGAGTATCTAACTTGAGTTCATACCTTGTTTCCCCTATTTTCCTGCCTCGAGTTGTTGCTCTGAAGTTATAACTGACTTAAGTCATACCTGCTTGACTTTCCAACTCTCGTTTAAAATCTGCAGTAAACTTAGTTACTTTATTATAGACAACAACAACAAGTCTTTACTTTAACTATTTTCAACAACAACAACATATTTATACTTATCAATCAATTAAAATAAAAAACGCAAGTTCATATCTTCATTTGAATCTATGTACATTTTGGATCGAGCACATAGCTTGACTGACGCAAAGACTGGAAGAAAATTAATGTTTTATTTTGAGGTTTCTAAGGTGCCTGTATACGGCTTGCGTTGGAATTAAGTAATGTTTTTGATTTTTAAGGGAATTTATTACTGTAGCAGAAACAGACAATAGACAGAAACACTGTCTTACATAAAGAAGCCGTGAAATGAAGCTTGCATTGTGCTTTACATCCAATAAAAACAGATTTCCTGTGCTTTATATGTATGTATATCTTGTTGAGAACATTTTGTTAACACTTGTCTACGTCAACCTTGCGGTTGACTGGTTGAGAATACCATTGAACATTAAGTCCGTCTTAGTAGCTATTGCATAAAGTGTTAAAATAAATATATTAATCAATCGATCAATCACAATCCTGATTGTTAATGTATTAGATAAAATAAATTAAAATAAAAACGTTTTTCGATCGGCATTTTATCATTGACAACATTATTATATGTATATCATCATCATATCACCATCAGCTTATAATCATATCATCATGCCCACAGCTGAGCAAAGGCCTTTTCTCATACGAAGAAGGTTAGAGCATTGATCACCACGCTTGCTCAATGCAGGTTGGCGATTTCAAACTTTTAATTAGAAATTATAAGTCCAGGTTTCCTCACGATGTTTTTACCTTCACCATATGTCAGTGGTGCCTAAATAACCATAGAAAGTACATATAACTCGGAAAAAGTCACAATGGTTCTTGCCTGGTTTCGAACCCACACCCTCATGCATGAGAAGCGGGCTCCATAACCTCCGGGCCACCGCAACATTTTCGTTTTGTATATATTTTAATCCAAATGGAATTAACTCGCTCAACGTGACCATCTCACTGCAATTCCTACAAGTCAGAATCTACAAACCTAGTCTAATGACTTACAAACTAGGAAAGCTCCGACACAGGTAGGTAATCCTAATGCATTTCGTGAAGCGTCCCTAGCCTTATCCACGTCATGTTTTTTGATGAACAAGCGAAATATTGCTAGAATTTAATCACAGCTTAATTTTACCATGTTTCGCATTGAAATTTATCTAGGGAGAAATAAATGGGAATGTTGACAGATTTTTAAGTGCATAAATATGTTAGCCATGCTTTGGCCTCATAGAAAACTACATTTGTGTTTCAATCCCTACCCCATTCTGTAAATCCTCAAACCCCTTACCCCTAAAAGGACCCTAAATGGGAAAAATCATCAAATGATTTTTCTCGTTTACAGTAAGGCGAGAGAGAGATAGTGAGTCCGAATCTTATTGACTAAACCCGCCTTTACATTTTCTGCTCCAGGTCGAAAACGCGGTTGAGACACCGCGACCTCGGCCCAGAGCAGGAGAAGGAACAAGGGGGTTTTTAGTCAGTAAGAGTCTGACACTCCCTCCCGCCCGGCCCTGGGCAGGAGAAGTCATTTGATGATTTTCCCCTCACAAAAAATAAAACGCGGTACATTATAACGGTTGCTCCGCAACCTAGGCTGAACATCGACCCTATTGAGTCTTATCTGTAGTTGTCTGAGGCAGGCAATTTGCTAGTTTTCCAAGACATAATAAGACTAAAAAAAAATATTTGCGTGACTGTCGAGCACCATTAAAGCTTCATTTTATTCAGTCTTTTTATTATTTTTTTCTAGGAATAAAACACGTGTTATTCTACTTGTACGTTCAAACTAAAACGAATAACAATCAAAATTAACGGCTAACCAACCCGAAAAATTTTTCGTGGAAGTGTTGAAATAATCTTTTTAATTCATTTTTATGCGTCATTTATGTTTAACACGCTAGCTCAGACGGAAAATGCCCCTTCCCTCGCCCGTCTGCTATCGGTCCACTCATAAATTTAATTCCCCTCGGCCACCTTCAACTGTA